GAAAAGCTTATGCAGCAAACCCCAAACCCTAAACCCCAAACCCTAAACCCTAAACCCCAAACCCCAAACCCTAGACACCCAAACAAGGCCCCAAGACCCCTGCGAAAGCAAAGCTCAAGGACCTGTGCCTCGAATGCGCATCCCGGGTCTCGCAAGGCCTGCAGGCACTGCCTTCGCAGGCAGGGGGCCTCGACTCTACCGTAAACCCTAAACCCTAAACCCAGAAGCCCTGAACCCTAAACCCTAAGACCTAGGTCCTAAGCCCTAAGCCCTAAACCCTAAACCCTTAACCCTAAGCCCTAAACCCTAAACCCTAAACTACCCTAAACCCTAAACCCTAAGCGATCGTAAGCGTGCCAAACCCTTGAGCTTTGCGATTGCCGGAAGCATTTAGGGTTTAGGGTTTAGGGTTTAGGGTTTAGGGTTGAGGCTTCTTTGCCTTCTTTTGTGGTGCAACCTTCGGTTCTCGGCTTTTGCTTGTTCAACGACCAGCGACTGAGACATGACGGCGATGCCCCCCTGTATAAGCCCAGCAACGCGAAGTCTTAAACCCCAAACCCGATAAACCCTGTGAACCCTATAAACCCTGTGAACCCTATAAACCCTGTGAACCCTATAAACCCTGTGGACCCTATAAACCCCCAAAAAAACCCATAAACGCCGCAAGCCCCATAAACCCTAAACCCCAGCTCTTGCTCTAGGTCGGCCTCGCCGCATTTAGCCCGCCCTCGCGTGCCGCCGGGTCCGAGTCGGACTTCATGGTTTCCAGCCCCCTGGCAAGCGGCTGAAGCCCCTGAAAGTCATGGTTTCCTGGAGCCAAACGCGTGTTTGTCAGGCTTAGGTTGTAGGCTGGCCTTGTAAGCCTTAAAGGCCCTAGGCCCTATGCTTTTGCACTTTGTAAGTGTGCGGACGAAACCCTTTTGGGGCGATCAACTCCGATTGTCGGCATTGGGGCCCGGGGTTTTGGTTTAAGGGCTCTTGCGATCCCAACTTAGCCTGGTACAGACTGGGGTCCCCCACGAAGGGTGTCGGGGTTAGTTTAGGGTTTGGGGTTCAGGGTTTATAGGGTTTAGGGGTTAGGGTTTAGGATTTCTTGTTGAGGGGTTCGAGTAGCTCCCGTAGGCCCCTACAGCTTGGCTCAGCTGGGTCCAGCGCGCAGTTCCGCCAAACATCCTGTGAACATCTCGGTAGGCCTTTTGGGACATTTCATATGTTCCCTTATTGGGGTTACCCTAAACCCTAAACCCTAAACCCTAAACCCTAAACCCTAAACCCTAATTTATGAATATTTTTTCAGAGGGCCTTAAGGGCCCTCCTCGATGCATCCGTCACCTTTTGCTGGCGTGCCTCATGAAGTTGTCTAACCTCAGATTTGGCCTATAGGGCTTATCGTGGCTTATTCGTGCCATTGCATCGGCCTTCAGGGCAGAAAGTCTTGCAGCACATGCTCAAAACAGTTGCCAGCTTCGGGCAAGGGTAGAAGGGGTGCCTGGTGGTTCATGGGATCGGCATCTGAGCCCAGAATATCGACATCCACGCCCATCGCCCTCAGGTGAAGATGGAAGTGGTGATGCAGAGATGCGCACTGAAGTGTAGGAAGAGGTCCATCCGTCTCCTGACCTGAGGTCCGGTATTCTGGCGTTTCGGCACTTAGGGCTTTTCGGAGGCCTTGACAGCTGGGGGTCAACCCGAAAACTTGAACATCCCAAACATGGTAGTATTTGGACGCTGCAGGACATGACGTCGTGTTGTTTGGACATTGCAGAACATGACGTCCTGCCTATGTTCGGGCATTGCACGACATGACATCGGGTTATGTATCCCAGCTCTACTATTCACAACCAGACTACTTACTATTACACACTACTACATCCTACTATTGCTACTGCTACTGCTGCTGCTACTGCTACTGCTACTGCTACTACTACTACTACTACTACTACTACTACTACTACTACTACTACTACTACTACTACTACTACTACCACCTACGACATACCGCGCACTACTCGCCACTTAACACTGACCACTTACTACTTGCTCCTTACAACTTTCTGCTTGCCCGCCACTTACTTGTCCCAGACGCATGCGAAGTCGCGCAGCAGCACAGGAAAAAGCATCGAGTGAAGCAGGACATATCAGTTGGGATCGAGCCAGGCGGACAGGCGAAGCCTATTGTCAAAAGGGAACTTGAGACCCTTCTGGAATGCAGACGAAACCCTAAACGCTAAACCCTAAACCCTTCTTGAATGCAGACGTGTGCTTGCAGCATGGAGCTTTGGCTCTAAGGCCAATTATCACGACCTCCTCGATGTGTTTTTTTCTGAGGCCTACAGGGGTAATCCCCTCCCCCTATATTATCCCTCCCCTACCCCCTAGCATTACATATTCCCATTCTCGTGAGAAAGAAGTATGTATATAGGGTGTGTTTCATATTAGGGGGTAGCGGGGGGGTTGAATTTTAGGGGGGAGGGGATTAATGCAGAGACCCACAATCCTTCCATCCGCGGGGGATGGTACGCCTCCCAATTCCGGACTTTGGGGTTTTCCACCGACGCAGTGCGGGAGGTTCCCCGAATTCGAGTCTCTCTTCTGGCACCTACGATTTTAGGGGCCCTTCTTTTAGAGGGGTATCCCGCCAAAAAAGGTGACCAGAATTCGAGGGACCCCCACAGGTACGCTACCCCTTTGAGGGTGCAAATATACCTCCAATCAGCCGCAAAGGATCGGTGTTAGGGTGCGTGATCCAGACACTATAAATATTTGTTATGTATACTATACTATACATACATACGTACATACATATACATAATATATACATATATATATATATATATATATCGTTTTCGTGTTGTGCTAAGTTGCTTCTCTTTGGGTGACCGAATGCTTGTGCGGTTGCTACGGTCGGTGTTTGAACGCTGGCCTTGGACTTGCGTGTGAAGTCTTCCTCACCACCTTCGTTCCGGCACAAGTCCAATGGAGCTCGCGCAAGCCGCAGCGAATAGTTTGCACAGGACGCTGTGCAAAAATCTTCACCTTGCGCTGATCTCCGATCTCCGATGAACAGGATAAAAAAGAAGCAAGCGCTCCAGTCCTTCATCCATGGCGGCCTAGCCCGTCGAAAAGCTCTTTCACAAAATATGATCCTCTCAAAACGAATCCCCAAAACCACAAGTTCCTCAAGGACATCTTGAAGGAACTTCTCAGGACCTAAGCCCTAAACCCTAAACCCTAAACCCCAAACCCTAAACCCTAAACCCACGTTAAGGAGAGGAGAGCCCTGAAGTCCGAACTGCAGCCCCCGCTTGTTCTCAAGCCAACCTTACCCGAATCACTCACGCGCTGCACTGCTTCGAGCTTGCCGGGGACTGAGCTTGGGCTTGGGCCATAATGTGGGCTTAGGGTTTAGGGTTTAGGGTTTAAGGTTTAAGGTTTAGGGGGTTCTTGCCCGAGATGCCGTAGTCAGAATAAGAAGCCACATGTGGAGCCTCCGTCTCAAGGGCCTGGTTTGTTTACAGCGAGGCGTGTGGGGCGTTGTCAGCTGTGGGCCTTATGATGTCTAACTCCGCACAATGCAACTTACAAGCCGAGCATCGGCCCTACCTTTAGGGTTTGGGGTTTAGGGTTTAGGGTTTAGAGTTTAGGGTTTAGGGTTTAGGGTTTCATGGTAGATGTAAGAAACCCTAAGCCCTAAGCCCTAAACCCGTTCCTGGCATGCTTTCTTGTGATACGAACTCCTGCATGTCCCAGAGAACTCCGGATGTCCGCAGGGCCCAGAGTCGACAAACCTCGAACAAGAACTACTATCTGCTTAAGCACACCGAAAAACAACACATGTTCTTCCCTATTCAGGGTAATTTAGGGGATTGTTTTTTTCTTTTGGTGTTCTTAAGCAAATGGTAGAGACCAATTTAGTCCCCCCTCCAAAAAATCGCAGCATTCCGTTATATATATATATATAAGGATCCCAGTAAGGTACCCCTAATTTCGGAAACCCCAAATGCTTCCTACTTGGCCCTACTAGAGCCCACCTCCCTACAGGTCTCAAAGCTCAGATTCCATGAGCATCTGATGGCCCCCCACAGCTCCAGTGGTTGGACCCGCCTCTCAGTTCGAAACGCTTCTGGTTTTGGGTTTTCCTCGTTCGGGTTTGAGTTTTAGGAGGGGGTTTAGGGTTAAGGGTTTAGGGCTTAGGGTTTAGGGTTTGCAGGTTGGGGGGAGGGGGGGTGGGAGCACAAAGAGCATAAAGAGCGGGCGTATAGGGTTTAGGGCTTCAAGGCCTGCAGGGTTTGAAAGTCTGCGATGGCAAGGCTTCAGGTTTGAAGATGTTGCTTCGGGTTTGGGGTTTGGGGTTTGGGGTTTGAGGGTTGGGTTTAACTCAACATCGCTGCTCGATTTTCTCCTGCTCGACTGTGGGGTTTCTTCATTTTCAGAAAAGACAGTGTCGCCGCCGGCTGTTGTCAAATCTGTCAACTTTAAGTTCTCTTCATCCAACCTATTGAAGTTATGTGCTGCTTGCTTCAATTCAATCAGAGCCTGTCGGTGTATGTTTTTTCATGTTTTCACGAATGAGGTATGCATAAGTGGAGCGTTTGATAGATTGCGGCAACGGTTCTGTTGAACCCCAACCACAGCTCTCCAGAAGCCGCTTTGCTCCATTAGAAAGTGCGCGGGGCGCTTTGCGTTGTCTTCGTGGAAGATGGCGGAGGAGTCCCAGCTGCAGCAACTTTGGTCCACTTCCTGGGATGCCTGGATCTCGCCTCCGGGCACCGAGAGCTGCGTGTACATGAAGCCGGTCGAGGTCGCTTCAGGAGCCCTTGCTGCCTCAGACTGGCTACTATCTTCCCCTTGGGAATTATTTTTTCATTTTTGCTTATATAAAACAGAAGAGGATATTAAAAGACGGATTTTTATCAAGGTTCTAAGGGGAGTATAGGCTAGGTCAGCTGTACCTGCGCTGTGCGGGCGCGGGCATCTTCGCCCTGACTGCAACGAATCCGATGGGCCAACAGCAGTCGGAGGAAGCAAATGCCAAGGCCATGGAGGAGCTTTCAACTGAGTTGATGCGCATGCTGGTCAACAGCGAAGGACCGTTGCGCGAATGCTGGCGCAGTTTCGGCTTCAATGTGAAGGAGGGCTGGCGAGAGGATGGCTTCACGATCATTGCAGAGGAAGCCTACGCCGTTGCGTTGGCGCGGCGCTTTCGCCAGGGCGCAATCTTCCAGTTCCAGCACGTCCCGGGCAAAGCTGCCTTTCAAAGGACCACCGTTCCTGTGCTTTTGCAGAACACGGATGCAGCCGTACTCGTGGCTATCTGTGAGAAGCCAGATGTTGGTGCTTATGCAGATCCTCAGTCGTGGGGACATCACCAAGCCAATCTGTGAATGGTGCCTCCATGACTATCATCCTAAAACCCTAAACCCTAAACCCTAAACCCTAAACCAAGAGCGTGGACCACATGGCCTTGTGCTTGAGTTGGCAAAGCGAGATGCTTCAGCAAAAAAACTCCAGACATGTCCTGTCATCCTCGACTCCCCTTCCTTGTGCATCTTGTGGATAAGTCTAGACCCATCCCTCCGCCCAAGCGCCTTTCTCATGCGTCAAGTTGTTTAGACGCCCCCTTGCGCAGCTGCAAGGGCCCTAAACCCTAAACCCTAAACCCTAAACCCTAAACCCTAAACCCCCGCAATCTTTAATGTCAGTTATGCTTGGGTGCTTCACATGCTGGGTAGGCGGGAGGCGCCAACTCGTTGGCCCCTAACCGTACCGGAGCCGCTGATTGCTCTTTGATTTACTACTATTTGCTTCAGAACCCCCAAAAGAATAAAAGATAATAATCCCCATATTACCCTTAATAAGAAGGAATGTTTTTGTTGACTTTTCGGGGTTCTTAAGCAATAAGTAGTTTAGGTTGTGGCCACAGTGGCTTTCACGGAGTTTTGCGACTTTCCCAGCACGACCGTGGTGAGATGCGGGTGTTTTCCGGCTCCTGCGAAATGGCAGGCTTTGCAAGAGAAGCTTGCATAAGGGGTGCAGAACTGGACATATTAGGCATCTGGTCTTTACACGGTTTAGCGTTTAGGGTTTAGGGTTAAGGGTTTAGGGTTTGAGCCTACTAGGAGCATTGCCTGTTCACGCCCCAAGCCCCAAACCAACCCATGCTAAACCCTCCAGCGCACTTAGCTCCCGAAAGATCCAGCATCCGCCACCAACAGCTCGGCGAACAGACCACTGCATCCCACGCTCTTCCGGAAGAAGTAAAACCCATGAACTGCCAACCCTGTACTAGACTGAGGTACAACATAGACTACATGGCCATTTCTCTAAAATATGGTCCCGTTCAAGGTCCTCATTGTAAAGGCGGCCCTCTTATGTAGGGTACCAAAAAGGGACCCTAAACCCCAAACCCTAAACCCCCTAACCCTAAACCCCAAACCCTAAACCCTAAACCCCCTAGCCCTAAACCCTAAACCCCAAACCCTAAACCCCAAGGACTCGTTGGCCTCGCAGCAGCCTGGACCTTGGCGATCTCCAGCCCTGCTCCGGCAAGAACCTGCGACTTGGCTCCGAGATGCCGGTTTAGGGTTTAGGGTTTAGGGTTTAGGGTTTAGGGTTTAGGGTTTAGGGTTTAGGGTTTAGGGTTTAGGGTTTAGGGTTTAGGGTTTAGTGTGTGATAGTGTGTGTGTGTGTGTTGTCTCACTTCCGGGCATATGCCAAGCCCCTGTTTCAAACTGGTTTACGGTTTAGGGTCCAGGGTTGAGGGTTTACAGGATAGTCTGGTCTAGCCAGGCGCAGATGCAGGCAAGCCGGATACAATTGGGTTCAGGGTTTAGGGTTTAGGGTTTAGGGTTTGGGGTTTAGGGTTTAGGGTGCCAGAGCAGCGCATAAGGGTTTGTGGAGTTTGGAGGCTGGAACCCCTACCAGAAACACTACGGCGGCGGGCCGAGCGGACGAATCTGCTTTTAACCAACTTGCACTGTGGAACCTCATGTCCCTGGCTATGCTGATCGTGGCATCCATACTGAAATCTAAACCCCATAGACCCTCAACCCACTAGATATAGCCCCAACCCTCCTCCTGCACACGCCGACACACAGCAGGGGCCTTGCGGCCCTAAACCCAAGTCAGAACACGGGGATTTGGGGATGAAGTTGTCAGGGGCTCAGGATTTGGCTCCTAACACAAGAGCCGAAGTAAGTGCCAACTTGGGATGTTCCCCCTTATACTAACAGTGCTTAATGGGGATTTTAGTACCCCCCCCCCCCATATTGTGATCGATGCAGATATTCAGGACTGTTAGTATAAGGGGGTATCGAACCTGCGCAGCCAGATTCGGGTTGATAGGATTAGGGTTTAGGGTTTAGGGTTTAGGGTTTAGGGTTTGGGGTTTAGGGTTACCGGATCGTGCTTCAAAAAAGGGTCAAGAATTCGTAGGATCCCTGTATGCGCAACCCGAAAAGTCTAAAGTTAAATAGACCCCTAAACTCAGGCCCTGAACTCATACCCCCCTCTAGACTACCCCCCTCCTAGTTTCCCCCAAATTAAGGCTGTCTAGGGATAATTAAGCCGAATTAAGGTCATCTAAGAGGGGAGTCTAGGGGGGGTAGTTTCGAGGGGGGTAGTAGGGAAACCAATGATAAACCCGAGATGCACGCTCCAACTAAGATAGGCCCCTGAGGGTTTACCTAAGTTCCGAAAGCTACAGTACACCCCAAAAAGTTGGAACATCCTTCTCCCCATACTCCAAAAGGTACACGAAAGGGTGCCAGCCACAATCATCCCTCAACCATGTTCCAACCTTCTGGAGCTTTCTGTAAACCCTTCCCAAAGCAGGTGACACGTCCCCCGCGTCAGCGCCGGCGCTGCTCCAATGGTCGCTTCCCACCAACGGCACGGTGCTGAACTCCACGCTGAATGCCTCGGAGCGCGGGGGGGGAAGAGAGTTGGGGGGATTTGTAGGGTCTGATGTTTGGGGTTTAGGGTTTAGGGCTTATCTGGCTTATCTTTGTGTTGGTAGGATTTGGGGATGTAGAGTTAGGGTTTAGGGTTTAGGGTTTAGGGTTTAGGGTTTAGGGTTTAGGGTTTAGGGTTTAGGGTTTAGGGTTTTTGGGCCAGCATGAGACTCCCGAGCCCAAGGAGGAGGGTGCCCAACAGGCGGCCGACGCCGCAATCGCCTCTGCCAAGCAGGCCACTGAACGGGTTTAGGGTTTAGGGTTTAGGGTTTAGGGTTTAGGGTTTAGGGTTTAGGGCTTAGGGTTTAGGGTTTAGGGTTTAGGGTTTAGGGTTTAGGGATGTCTCGGGTCCCATTGCGGGGTCCGAGCTTTTGGAGCCTTGGGTTTTTGGGCTTCTGGTCAGAAATTGGGAACCCAAACCCTACACCCTAAACCCCTAAAACTAGCAGTCCTTGATAGGGATTATCATAGGGGGTACTAGAATCCCCATGAAGGACGGATCGTACAAGGGGGGGAACATCCCAGGTCATAAATCTTTAGTGGATTTCGTGTGCAGCCCCTCAGCTGTTGCAAGGGCGTAACCGTATCAGTAGAGTCAGTAGAGTCAGTAGAGTCAGCAGAGAATGGGGCCATTCAAGGGATGCCCAAAGCCTCTGCCCACGAAGCAGCAGAGCAGGCTTTCGAGTGGAAGAACAAGTTTGCACGGCTGCAAAACAGTGGTCGAGACGAGGTCGACCAGGACACATGCACGTTTGGGCCTTCTGGGTTTCAAGAGCTGGCAGCACTGACAGCAAGCCAGCTATACGCAATCTTCGTCGAAGCCTTTGATACTGTAGCCCTAAACCCTAAATCCTAAACCCTAACCCTAAACCCTAAACCCTAAACCCTAACCCTAAACCCTAAACCCTAAACCCCAAACCGCACGACCCTGGAGGGATCCCTGGACGCCCTGTCAACCCTACATAAGGCTGTGAAGGCGCATTAAGATTTAGGGTGTAGTCTAGCGACCTATAGGACTCTGGGATGCAGGGCAGCACCTGAATCCCGTTTGGGGTGGTTGAGCCTCCCCGACAACTCTCCGTAAACATTGCAAACGGCACCCGCCGTCTTTTCTTAGCGTAACGGGGAGCCGCACCCGTTAGAGCTATGGCGTCCCGAATCCCCAAGTCTCAAGTAGCTTGGGCATCCCCCCTCATCCCCCCCCCCCCCCCCCCCCGGTGTCGTGTGAAGAGAGCTTACACCGGTAGTTTGTCTGGGGCGGGCCAGGGTTTAGGGTGTATACGTGTATGCTACGAGGCTTTAGGAGTAAACGAAGAGATGTTCGTTTTTGTTGAGGGTGGGGGGGGAGGGAGGGAGGGAGGTAGGGATGCGAGATTGAGGATGCATCTATGACGACCTCGGCCATGGCAGGCCTGCTCACCAACATTGTGGTGTGCCTGGCACCTTGGCCGACACCATCTCCACCTTGTGTTCAACACCCTAAACCCGAAACCCTAAACCGACACAGCTTTTCCCAAGCTCCTGAACCCCTCCACCGTTGCGCACCTGACATGATCCCTGTCAATGTGATGACATCACGCAGTACTTCTGCGGGGGAAGGCGGCCCTAGCTACCACATGAGGGCGGTAATGCAGTGGGTACCCTAAACCCTAAACCCTAAGCCCTAAACCCTAAACCCTAAACCGAAACCCTAAACCCTAATTGAGAGAGCTCCATGAGATGTGATTAAGAAAGCACAAGCCACCTCAGCCCACTCAGCCTGAACTCCACACCTGCAGTCTTCAGAGTTCCAACTTGGCAGCATCGATCAGCCTCTACATACATTTTGATATATATATATATATATATAGAGAGAGATAGATATGCCACACTACGTGTTTTTTTGGGTTACCATATATATATATATATGTATGTATATATATATATATATATCTTTATGCTTATATTTATAAATGTATATATACATATGTAGGGATGTGTAAGAAGATGCATGTTGTTGTGTATGAATATGCGTGTCTCAGAATGCAAATACGAGCAAGTGTGCTCAAGGACCAAAGTCTCAATTGTCATCATGCAATCGACGGCTGGTATGGCAGATATGGGCCCATTCAGTGAAGGCAAGAAAACATTGTTCAGGTTTATCTGGTCCCTTTTCGAAGCACCGGTGCTAAGAAACGAGCATGAAGTTGACAACAGCAACGCTGTTCGCAAAACGATATTTTTTGGCAAGGCTGTTGAAGGCGTTTGAAGTTCTTTCAAGATAATGAGCATGTGAAGGAAACTTCCAGAGCCACCGGTATAACATCAGGCTTTAGCTGGCGGGTTTCGGGTTTCGGGTTTAGGGTTTAGGGTTTAGGGTAGCGGGTTTAGGGTTTAGGGTTTCAGTAGCGCAACGACGCCTACCTGTGCACTCCATCAGAGATTTCAGCCTT